TCCCTTCCAACCCAATCATTCTATGATAACACAACTGTGACACACAGTATTGTGCAGGTTACCTTCACTGAACTTTCTCCCATTTCAAGAGGAACTGTTTAAGAATAAAAAGGTATTGTTTAGAAATGAGTTCTTCTTGTTGCAGTTGCCTGTTTTTGAGACTGAAAGACACTAACTGGTCCCCATTGTGGTTTTGTGCTAACCTCTTTCCCAACCATGCAATGCCTTTTCAAAACTTTTTTTTTTCTTTCCTGTGTGTAAGTTGCTTTACTCACACTATCTTTTCAATTGTAGAATACAGGACTGTGCACAAGCAGAGGTTTTGGGGCTTTGGTCTCTTCTCTGTAGCAGAAGCCAAGCTCTTGACCTGAAATTTGCCACTGTTGTGTGATTTTGGAAGAATGTTGAATGGGCAGGATCTTGTCATTAACAGCTTACTCCTTATTACAGTTGAAGGTGGTTCTTGGAGGAGTTTAGAACAGTCTATTGTTCAGAGACTACTCCAGTGAAGCCTCATTGGAAGAATATAATTAATCTTTGTTATTTCTGGGACTGAAATAAGTCCTTCTTTGGGGGACAGCGCATCAGGTAGATCATAGTGGGTGAGAAGTAGCGTGTACATTGCACTGATTAGGTTGTTTTTTCAGGGTGCTGAATTTGGTATGTGCTTGGGCTGAAGTTAACTGGGTGTTAGGAGCTGTGAAAGTGGTGTGTGCAGTTCATAAATGTTGAGATATAGTAAAAAAAAAATCAAGTTCAAATATTCAAGCCATGCTTTTGCAAATTTACAAGCAAGATGTTTTACTAAGGATAGCTCTAGATTTCTTAACTCTTGAACCTTCCTTAAGTCAAATAAGTAGTAAGCTTCCATCATATGTGCTGGTCCCAAAATAAACTTGGCTGGATTTCATTAAACATGAAACAAAACATGTGTTAAGGGGGAGTTAGATGTTGGATGCTTTTCCTTATACTAAGATTTTCTAGTTACCTTCTTGCATTGCTGAAGTCTGTTGCTTGGAACTGTTTGCCCCTCTTATGGTTTCTGCTCACTTATCTCTTCAGAGGAGGTTAGTGGCCACCTGGTCAGGTAACTCTTTAAAGCAGAGTCTCCTTTAACTGTTCATGTATAATTACTTTTAATGAGAGTCAGAAGCTGGCTCTGACTGGGATATGTATTTTTTCAGCTTCCCATGAAGTTGTTCTTTTGGGTGAACAGAGGAGAAGTTACACCAAACCTTCTCGTGTACTAATGGCAAAAGTTAAAAGTTATTTTTAATGCTTGCCTTCCCACCCTCTGGAAATGAATGAGGGAGGTGTTACAAACACCACAGTGTTAGGTGGATACCATTCAAATCTTTTTGTACCCTGTCATGGTATTTCCTAGTCCTGTACCATTTCCTAATGGGTGGTGCAATAGATTTCATATCAGTATTTCTTCCGAATTGTTTAATGTCAATTTGAAAGCCAACCATTATGTAGTCTAGCAAAAAACTGTCCACTGTCCCACATGACATCCTTGTCTCTAAATTGGAGCGACATCAATTTGATGGATGGACCACTCGGTAGATAAAGAACTGGCTGGATGGCCGCACACAAAGAGTTGTGGTCAATGGCTCAATGTCCGGCTGGAGACCAGTAACGAGTGGTGTCCCTCAGGGATCGGTGTTGGCACCGGTCTTGTTCAACATCTTCGTCGCTGACATGGACAGTGGGATTGAGTGCGCCCTCAGCAAGTTTGACACCAAGCTGTGTGGTTGGGTTGATACCCTGGAGGGAAGGAATGCCATCCAGAGGGACCTCGACACACTTGTGAGGTGGGCTGATGCCAACCTCATGAAGTTTAACCATGCCAAGTGCAAGGTCCTACACCTGGGTCGGAGCAATCCCAGGCACAGCTACAGGCTGGGCAGAGAAGAGATTCAGAGCAGCCCTGCGGAGAAGGACTTGGGGGTGCTGGTCAATGAGAAAATGAACATGAGCCGGCTTCAGTGTGTGCTCACAGCCCAGAAAGCCAACTGTATCCTGGGCTGCATCAAAAGGAGCGTGACCAGCAGGTCGAAGGAGGTGATCCTGCCCCTTTACTCTGCTCTTGTGAGACCTCACTTGGAGTATTGTGTGCAGTTCTGGTGTCCTCAACATAAAAAGGACATGGAACTGTTGGAACAAGTCCAGAGGAGGGCCACGAGGATGATCAGGGGACTGGAGCACCTCCTGTATGAAGACAGGCTGAGGAAGTTGGGGCTGTTCAGCCTGGAGAAGAGAAGGCTGCGTGGAGACCTCATAGCAGCCTTCCAGTATCTGAAGGGGGCCTATAGGGATGCTGGGGAGGGACTCTTCATTAGGGACTGTAGTGACAGGACAAGGGGTAACGGGTTAAAACTTAAATAGGGGAAGTTTAGGTTGGATATAAGAAGGAAATTTTTTCCTGTTAGGGTGGTGAGGCACTGGAATGGGTTGCCCAGAGAGGTTGTGAATGCTCCATCCCTGGCAGTGTTCAAGACCAGGTTGGATGAGGCCTTGGGTGATATGGTTTAGTGTGAGGTGTCCCTGCCCACGGCAGGGGTGTTGGAACTTGATGATCTTAAGGTCCTTTCCAACCCTAACGATTCTGTGATTCTAAATGTGAAGCATTGCATGCAAAATGCAATGGCCAAGACAAAATTAGTTGTATGTGGAGAAGACTGAATTGCAGGGGAGGCTGCTGAGGAGGTCAGTATTCAAGTAGGGAATAGGTTAATCAGTTGGGGAGGAGATGAAAACATGAGGAGCTGTTTTTAGAAGATACATAATAAGTATATAAGCAACTATGATGTGAGAAGATTATTTTAAAATAAAGCAAGAAGAGAAATGCTGAAGGTGATAGTCTTCAAAGGCACATGGTTTCAGGAAATTGCTGGTGTGGTACTACAAGGTGGGGTTGTGATGCCAGAAGGGAAGAAAGACCAGAGGTGGCCATAGCAAACATTAAAATGGTGACCGCAGTGTAGTGGGGCTGCGTTTATCAGCGATAATCTCCACTTTGACGTGTTATGACTTACTGGCATGATAGGAATTTGAGGTCACATTTTCATATTATAAGCTTGCTTTAAATTCTTCATTTTAGAATGGAGAATTTAAAGAATGAAAACACCTTGGGCTCAAACTACAACAGTAAGAACCCTCACCATAGCAGTTACATTACTGCTACCCTTGGGTCAGCAGTCTAGAAATGCTTTGGAGCAAACTACACTGCTTTGCTCTCTCCTGTGTGACTGATGGGGACTGTTGGATCAGTATAAGGCACTTTCTGCACCAGCTAAATGATGGATACCCTGAGGCTTGAACGAGGATAGCGCCCAGTGAAAATGCACACTGCTTCCTATGCAACAAAACCATATTGGTGTAACCGTTGTGTTGACAGGACAGAAACTTCGCAGTAGTGTTGTGCAGATTGGGCCTATTACAACACGCTCACACATTTAGCAGTGGGTTAGGATACCGTTGTGATAACGTCATATGTGTGCTAACCACAGAGACAGTCTTCGGCTAACTTCTTGTTTGAAGCACTGTGAAATCCACAGTACCCAGACTTGAGAACAAAGGAGAAGAGATCTGGAAAATAATGATAACTGAAAAGGAAAAGAAAGGTTTTGATATAGCCCCCATGGTTGTGTTCTGCAGGCATCACAGCAGAAGTCTGTAGGACAGCAAGATGTCTTTGCATGTGCTTATGTGAAGCCCTCCCACATATATGGGATGGCATGTAAGAAAACATGAAGGAGCGTTCTGCATTTTCAGAGAGCACTGTGAGCTGATTGCAGGTGGGGAATCAGCAAATCCATGCTGAGTAAGAAATAGGTACATTGAGATGTGGAAGGCCAAGCTTCTCTGTGAAGGAGCAGAGAGGATCGGGAGAGGGTATAGATGAGGTCAGTAAAGGGATCTTCACATCGGCTTCTGAATGAATGTGAGCAGGTTGTCAAACACTGCCATATCCATTTCTCTGTGGTTAGAACATAAGATGGGGGTAGGTAAAATGTGCATGTCGGTATCTTTTTGGCTAATATCTATGGTCTAGTTTAGGTAGAAGAAAATGGAGATAAAGCATTGTAGTCACACAGAGTGATGATAAGATTCAAGAAATGTAGTCCAAAATGTGTATTTGCACAGAAGGCAGAACATTAACCATCAGTACTATAAAAGCTTAATATCTTCTTTGAGCTGGTGTGAATCTTACCTGGAAGTACCAAGGGAATGTTCTTATTTTTTTTCAAGAAAACCTCAAACTGGCTAGCATTAGCTTTGGGTCTTTATTGAGCAAGTGCTCTGTCTGGGTAGGCTGTGATGGGTTGAGTAGGTTGTGATGGGTTGGGTAGGCCAGAGGTGTCTGGAAATGTTACTAATGAGAAGCTGTAGAAAATCCTAACACGAACTGTTTCTCAGAGTAGAAGCATGACAAAAAATTGTACTTCAAGAGACTGTTCTCATTAAGAATTATATTTCCTGAAGGAATTCCACATAGTTGAACATGAAAGGTCACATTGCACACCTCAAACTGGTATGATAGGCTATATCGAATTGTCACACACTTTCCATCCATCTGCAAATCCAGAAGTTTCTTAAAGCTCTGAATCAGATACTTTTATGGCCAATGTCTTGCTTTGTTGTTGTTTTCTTTAAACTTAATCCCTATCTGGCTCTGCTTCTTGTTAGCTGGTTGAACCAAACATTCTAAATGGCAATATACCATTTAAAAAACTAGCATGAAGGAAGACAACTGTGGATGCTTTATCAAGGCCATACCATCAATTTCTAAGTGAACTTGTGTTTTTTGTGACCTGGTAGTTCTTCTAAGCAATTCAATCTTAATTGTGGGTTTAGATGTATGTTTTAAAAATTATTTCGGGCATAACCAAAATATAGAAAACACAAGGCATTGTACTGTATCAGGGGGTAGGTTTGTGTAACTGAGGGATTTGAGTCTTTTCTCTTACATTTAATTTTATCCTTCTTTTTTACAGGAAATAATGAACAAAGTGTGCCACAACTCTTGATCAGAGACCTGAAATTTGAGAAGAAGTCATTAGCTAAGCTCATGTTTTCTCCTGATCAAGAAAATCATCCATCAAAAGCACCAGTGAAATATGGTGAATTGATCGTATTAGGGTAAGTGTGTCTTGGTTGGAAGTGAGAATGAAGGTAGGATTTCAGGGTGCACTTCCAGCAGGTAAAATGCAGGTTGCTGTGAGATGGTCCCACAACCTACCACTTGAACTCCCTCTTTTGCAGTGTATCTAGTGAGCACGCAACTGAATAGTGAAGCTGATTAGCTTTTCTTCAGTAGCTGAACTCATGTAAGGAGGGGAGTAGAAGGAAGGCTGCCTTTTTCAGTGGCAGCCAGGCGTTATACACTGCAAAATTGCATTGCAGTGGGCATACTGTTTTGTGACAGTGTGAACATGCAGGTAGGACCTGAGTAGATGCAAGGTGATTTTCAGGTCTTGTGTTCATTGCACATAAGTGTTTTTGTGAGAAAGGCAGCCAATTTGTGAAGGGTTTCCCAGCTGGTTCAAGGCTAGGCTGAAACAGATGACTAATGTGATTATGTGGAAGGAGAGGTTCCCTAGGACTTAAAGTAAAATAAAAAAGAGTTTTATTTATATTCCTAAAAACTGTAGCAGCTGACTAGAATATCCAGGTTCAAACAGAAGATGTTAATAAAGCAAGCTTGCCAGCTGGCCTGTTTATGTTGACATGTTCAAAGTGAGGCTCTGAGGCTTTTCTAATGGATTAAATTGGAGCCTCAGAGGACAGCACATCTATTTCTTATGGGTCTTTATTTCAATCAAAATTTTCTAAAATACTAGCTCTCCACCAGGGTTGGTGAGTATGGAGAATCTTTCATTTACAGCATGATGCCATTTAGAGAGAAAGCAGCAGATAGGCATATAACCATAGTTGTTCTCATGTTTGGGACCAGAGTCTTTCACACGTCAATAGTAGCTTTGAGATTGATCTGGGTAGCATTCCTTGCCCTACAAGCTTTGTGTGTACATGCTGTAATCCTTTGGGCATGTTTCAATATTGTGTTTATCAATTCTCAGATTTAAATGTGACTGATGGGAAATCTATAATTATTAATATCATACTAATTAATTGTCTTAGAATGAAAGTTCTCATCTATATCTCATGGGAATCTAAGTAACACAGGAAGATGGACTTTGTTCTTTTTCTGTGCTTTTTTTGATAGGTACAATGGGTCTCTACCAAATGGAGATAGAGGAAGAAGAAAAAGTAGGTTTGCTTTATTTAAAAGGCCCAAGGCAAATGGGGTGAAACCTAGCACTGTGCATATTGCCTGCACCCCTCAAGCAGCAAAGGTAAGCTCAATTTGTCTAGTTAAATATCATTTCTCCTGGTGCTGTCTGAGTTGAGTGAAGTCAGTGCTGTTATGCTGAGATGAAGTGGTATAAAAAGCATGAAGCTCTGGCTGTGAAAAGTATAGTTTGTGTTTATCCAAGGTTTTCTTGGTACCCATCAGGGATAACAAGGAACTGTTCAGCAAAACAAAACTAATGCCCAATCCTTGCTGTGTCCAGAAAGAAAAATGTTTATTTTTGAAACACGAATGTTCAGGGCACAGGCCAGTCATGTAAAACACTTTCTGTTTTGTTTTCCTTCCAAACTCACTGCAGACATCTGGTCTAGACTTCCTGTTTTCGCTCTCCCTCATGCTTTAGGGCTAACTTCACCTCACGTGAAGCTCACTTTTAAATGATCCTTTGCCAAAGCTCTGTGTGCGCTTGCTACTCCATCCAACAGTTTGTTCCCCAGGGATGAGGACAGGTGGTTTTTGCAGGCCATGGTTTATAGTGCTTGTAATCAGTTTCAGAGTTCCCCTTATGAAGCAGGAAAGGAAGGGCTTAGGTCTTGAAGTTGAATTGTATTTCATGTCAAAACTAATATATTATAGCTGAAGTATTACCATGAAATACTTCTGTGTTGTGGTGATTCAAGTGTATGTGCAATCATGTTCAACAGCAAATGGAACATTTCTACTAAAACCAATGGAATTTGAGAATGCTTAGTGGTCGTTTAGAGATCACCAGTGTCAGGGCCCTTAACCAAATACAGTAGTGTTAAGTTTGACTCCCTAAATACCTTGACACTTAAAAATATTATTGATCCCTAAATTCAGGGAATGGCATAAAGTACTGTGAAATCAAAAGCATTTTTCTAACCAAAATTCTTGTAATAGAATTAAATCTATAGATCTGTGAGAAGAACATTTATTTTTACTCTTTATGGCCTTCAAGTAAGTGGTATTTAGAAGCACTTGTAGAAGAGTGTTTGCTCAGTTCCCAGGGGGTAGTTGCAGAATGAAAATTTCAACTAACTGTAAACTAGATTGCTGCAACTTCTGCACCCTATGCTGAGTTTCTCCATATTACCTGGCTTACCACTACTACTTGTTATGTTTTTTGTCTATATATCTTGTTATTAATAACTGATTTTGGTATGAACTCAGATCCTGATTTTAGAGTGAAGTCCCTCAGGTTCTTTTGTCCTCACTTTGCTTTTGAAATCCAGGCTGGGGAGGCCATGATACTCGGTTTTAGCCTTCGCACTCAGTTGTTTGTTATTTTGTGTTAAGGCCAGTGTTGTTTTAACATGAAGCATGACTAATGATATGTCTCAGTTAGGTGTATTTTGTTGCAGCATGTGGTGAAGAGACCAGTTTGGTCTGTTGCTGAACCAATCCTGCACCTTTTTTTTAATGGCCAGGACTGGCTTTTGTGGAGTTTAACTACAGGTGTGTCATAACGACCATCTGTCTTAATGCATTAATTGAGGAGAACAGGAGCTTGGTTATATATATATATAGTCTGCTTTGCTGTTGTATTCAGTAAGGTTATTGTTCGCTGGTTCAATAATATTTGGTACTTTTTCCACAGGCAATAAGTAATAAGGACCAACACAGCATATCTTACACTTTGTCTCGGGCCCAGACAGTAGTAGTTGAATATACACATGACAGCAACACAGATATGTTCCAGGTATGTAAAGGAAGTATATTTAAAAGCATTCTCACTTTTGGTGGTTTCTAACGAGACATCCTCTCTGCATGCCTTCTCCCTCAGGCCCCAAAGTTTGCATGTGTCACTTTCTGCACTTTACTATTCAGAGATACCTCACTCTGTTCATTCCCAGGCCATCACATGAACAAGGCTGTATATCTGAGCATCTCTTTTAGGCTTGGTCAGAGGTGAAAGTTGGGTTTTTTTTGTGACTAACGCATGAGATTATGGTTCTGCCTTTGATTGCCAATCTACAAGTCGCATAACCTGTCTCCTAGTGCCTCTTTGCAACATGAAGAATAAAGAGCACAATTCTCTTCAAGCACTTGGAACTTTGCTTCTGGCATTTACGAAGGGATTTGGGATTAGCCAGCTGGAGACAGGGTAGAAGAAATACAGTGTGAAAAGACAGGAAAGCTTTTGACACAACTAATATGAAAAGTACCCCTAACTCCTTTAAGCAAACCCAGAAATAAGTCTCACGTGCTGGGAAATGTGGCAAGAGGAGGCCCAGTTCTGATGTGCTGGCAGTTCATAGCAACTTTGCTGCAGTTCCTGTATGTATGAGAAGGAACCACAAACACATCTGCAGCTGTGGTGCATGCTCATATCTTATAATTGTTTCCTGTTTTTCTCAAAAGGAAGGGTTTTGTTTTAGGGTTTCTTTGTGTGAGCTTTGTTCCCTCTGATTCCCAGACTATCTTGCATTGATTTTCTTGTTGTTGTCACTAAATTATGGTAAGGAGTTTTGCTGTCACAGCATTTAGCTGTGACACCACTGCAGGATCTAAGGAGATGGGAGGTGTTGGAAAGTGGTGGAGGAAGCTGCTCTGCAACTGCAAGAACCTACAACAGAGCAAAAGGGCTGTAATGACCTAAGTGCAGCATAAGCTATTGTTTGTGTGAGCGTTGTCTCTTCAGGCATGCTGTGGCATGTATGCTGCTCTAAAATTGCCAGTGGCAGTCCCTGTGTTACTGATGGGTTATCCTGACTAAGGAGCAATAGAAAAATACATTCTGACAAAGCAGTTTCAGTCTCATGAAAACTCTCCAGCCTTCTCCAAAAAGCACCTCAGGCTTTTGGGTCTCCTGCCCAGCAGTTAATCAGTCTTAATGTGACCAGCTATTTTAGAAGAGGCTGAGAGCTCTGGAAGTGCGAGAAATGTCACAGTGGGCTTTAAACCTGGCTATGTTGATGTTTGGGAGAGGGGTGTAACTTCTCTTCCTACGTTATAAGGAAAAGGACAACATGAGTTGACTGGAACAGCAATGAAACCCATGTAGTTCTATCAAACCCAGGCCAGTTGTGTGGGACTGCGAAAGTCATTCTTCCATGCAGTCAGAAAAGAGGGTACAGCTACTAGAAAAAACGTGATTGTAGTCAGATGTTGCGTTCTTATTGTATTCTGCGCATATTAATGTAACCCCTTCCCATCACAAACATCTTGGACCTGGTCTTTCCTGACAGATTTGCTGCTCCTTAGTGCCCCACCAGAGCTGGAGAGTCAGCTCATGTAATCTAATTTTCCTGCATCCACACCTCACAGTCTGGCATTGTTCAGAGTGTTCTGGGCATTCTGAGTGACTGAGTATCACACCTCTTTTCATCTAACTGCTCTTTCCTAGCTGTTTTGGTACTGCTGCTGCAGCTGCTCCAGCTGACCTGAGTGTAACCTTTCTGATGAGAAGGCCTTCAATGGGAGGTTGTCTCAGAATTGACTTAATTACATCATTTTATTTCCCCTTCCTTCAGTTGGCTGTACTCAGCCTTCAAAATAGTTTTGGTCACATGGAGGTGGAATAACACTTAGATTCAGATTAGGCTTTAGAAACCTGAATTAAAATTGGTGGAGGGGAATCCTTTAAACTTGCATTTTTTTTCTTGGTCACTTTTAAAAGTTTTGAGCTTGAATATTCCTAGACTTAAAAGCAAACTTCTAAACATTTTGGTTTGTTTATGTTTGGTTTCTTTAATTCCTTTCCAGATTGGTCGCTCAACGGAAAGCCCTATAGACTTTGTAGTGACAGATACGGTTCCTGGGAGTCAGAGTAACTCAGATACGCAGTCCGTGCAGAGCACTATATCAAGGTTTGCCTGCAGAATCATCTGTGAACGTAACCCTCCTTTTACAGCAAGGATATATGCTGCAGGATTTGACTCCTCAAAAAACATCTTTCTTGGGGTAAGGGAACGCTCTTTTTACCCCTGTGTTCAGTGCAGGCTTGTTTTTAAACTGATTCGTAGCTCCACTTCAGCCAAATTAAAAGTTTTCATTGATGTAATTTCTCCTAGGAGAAAGCTGCGAAGTGGAAGACATCAGATGGGCAAATGGATGGACTAACCACAAATGGAGTTCTTGTTATGCATCCTCGTAATGGATTTACAGAAGACTCCAAGCCAGGGGTATGGAGAGAGATATCTGTGTGTGGGAATGTGTTCAGCCTCCGTGAAACCAGATCAGCTCAGCAGAGGGGAAAAATGGTAAGAGTGGTGTTTTGTGCAACCCCTGTTCAAAATGGGTACAACCATAAGGGGTAAAGCCTGGGATCTGCCTCATTCATTGTAGATGTCACCTCTGTAATTACACTGACTTCTTACATGAAGGTGTCTTGCTCAACCTGAATAACTGATGTTTTATCTGCAAACTAGTACTTAATTGCAGATCTCTCCTGAACTCTAGACTGGTCTCCTAAGTTGAGTTGCCAGTCTACTGTGCTCTTTGCAATCTGTCATAGTCATGTATATGTTTAAAGAATATTTTCCTGATTCTCCCTCTTGAGTTCATGCTTTTAAGGTTTCCCACTTTTTATAGAATAATAAAGAATAATCACAATTTTATTGACATGTGCCTATATACCTGGATACCCCTTTCCACCTTGGCATTCCAAGTGTTCCCCTTGTTACAAAAGCATTGCCAGCATCACCAGGAGATAATTGGTTGGATTTGGGATCTGTTAGCAAAAAGAAATACTACATGAACACTTAAGTGGAAATGCTAACAGATGACTTTTTCTGGAGGAGAGGAAGGCCATGTGGAAAGGTGGGTTTGAAAAAGAACAGTCTAAAATGTGATGGAGGACTAAAGACTTGTGCTATTCCTCCTTGATGCGTTTCAGGTAACATAGTTGGGACTGCTGTAGGGATGGAGTTGGGAGACGTTAAGGTTTGAGAGCAGCTTTTCTTGCCTTACTTTTTTAAGGTACACATTAATCTGTTCTTAAGAAGCTTTGGTTTGTTGTCTTTTCAAAAGAGGGCAGAGGGAAGCTGCCACTGGGCTCTTCTATGGGCATCTTGTACAGGACAGTCAAGAGCTGCTTGAAACTTTTTGTCTGGCAGATTTGTATTATGGAAGTGCCTTAGGTACTCCTCAGGTAACACCTCTCCTTCTCTTTGTCCATCACAAGGTTGAGAATGAAACGAACCAGCTCCAGGATGGCTCTCTGATTGACCTGTGTGGAGCAACACTGCTGTGGCGCACTGCAGAAGGGCTTTCACGCACTCCTACTGTCAAGCACCTGGAGGCCCTAAGACAGGAAATAAATGCAGCCAGGCCCCAGTGTCCTGTGGGGTTTAACACCTTGGCTTTTCCCAGCATGAAGAGAAAAGATGTAGTAGATGAAAAGCAGCCGTGGGTGTACCTGAACTGTGGCCACGTCCACGGCTATCACAACTGGGGAAACAAAGAGGAGAGAGACGGCAAGGATCGCGAGTGCCCCATGTGCCGCTCAGTGGGCCCCTACGTGCCTCTGTGGCTTGGATGTGAGGCAGGTTTTTATGTGGATGCAGGACCTCCAACTCATGCGTTCAGCCCGTGTGGACACGTGTGCTCAGAAAAGACAACTGCATATTGGTCCCAAATTCCTCTTCCTCACGGTACTCACACTTTTCACGCAGCCTGTCCCTTCTGTGCACATCAGCTGGCTGGTGAGCAAGGCTACATCAGACTCATTTTCCAAGGACCTCTTGACTAACACACGTGTTTCCAAGGACTGCAGTAAACTTGATAAGCTAAGAGATCCCGATTTTTAAACCAACTGTTTTTCATATTCTCTGGGCTTTGCTGGTTTGCATTAAGATGAAGAATTTGGGGTTGTTTTGTTTTGTTTTTTTTGTTACAGTGGCTAAATCCCTCTCTATTGAGAAAAGTCTGGAAATGGGGGGGGAAGAAGAGGGAAATCTTCTTTTTTTGAGTTAATAACTACTTCTGAAGAGGTCAAAGGAGTGTTGTAGAGTGAACTTCAATGCCTTCCGTTTAATGATTTTGAATCACATGCCCACAGTATTTGAAAGTTGTTTCATTCTTTTTGTATATGGAGGGTAAATAGTTCAAAGAACATTAGTTTACAGCTTGGATGCAAACGTTGTAAAATATAACGTGTATATTAACTCTTTTCTATTTATCTTTATTACTGCAAATACGTAGAATGTTTAGAGAGTAGCATGGCCATAGTGTGTTACATCCGGCAGTTGGATGTGTAGTGTAGATCTGGATGGAGAAGAACATGAGATGGAAATGGTAGAAAAATCTTTTAATCTAAAATACTGAGTTCTTAGAGTAGTTAAAATGCTTTTTAAACAAAGCTAATGCAAATGATGATGGCAAAAAGGTGTGCTTTAACCACGTTGAAAGGTAGTTAAGGAGGACTTCTTGAAATGTCTTTTTGGTAGGTAGGACTGTACTTAAGATCTGGTTAGGAGGAGAAGTATTTATCAGACTCTTTGAATATGCAACTTAGTCTAGATTAAGGATTTTTTTTCTCCCTTCATGCTAACACATCTCTTTATTTAGCATTAGTGACGTTCGTGAGGGGTTTTCCAATGTTAAACGTGAACAAACCTGAAAGATGAGGCTCATTTTGTTCCTTGCTGTTTGGGGCAGGGGGTGAAGGGAGAGGTGGATGCACATGTGCATGCGTAGGGGGAGCAGGGAGCAATTTGTCAATCAGCCGCAGTCCCAGCTTGTGACAGGCTTGTCAGTCGGATACAGGAGCCACAGGCTTCATGTGCTTGCCTTTACCTTGTTGTGAGGTGCAAATACTCATCTCGGCCACACATGGAACAAAGTTGAAGCCTGGTACCCAAGGGATGCGCACCTGCATCCTTGCGCATCCTGTCTCAGTTGGCAGTCTGTTAGGGGAGAGCTTGAGCTGGGACTGGAGTGGACTCACAGACCTCAGTGTGTGATGCTTTGGTAAGGTCCACTCACACTGCAGTGGGCTCTAGTAAGTATCTCTCTGCTCTCCCTATCCATCCTTTCCCTCTTTATCCACCAGAGACGGCCAGTGCACTACATCCAGCTTTGCTGCTAACCGACCGTGCTTCATGGCAAATTCACAACCTGACCTTTTTAGGATTGAGTTGAGCTTTTTTTATGGCCAGCTTCACACTTTGTTCTTTTCTCAACATACGTACTGTATAATTGGAAGTAGCAAATTTCTGTACTTTATAACGTAGCTTTAAGTTTTCCTTTCGAAGCTGTTCTAAAGTTTTCTTGGTTTAAAGAGAGACCTATGTTGCTTAGATGTCAGGAATTATTTACTTTGACTGTCAATTGTTTCTCCATTTCTAAAAGAAAATTATATATATTGTTTGGTTCACTCAGGAAATGCATGTGTCAGGAAACCTGTATTATAAGTTCAGTTAGCTGTCATGTACAAGTAACTGCTGTTACTCCCTGTCCACAGAAATATAACTGATTTTGACATTTTTCCAGATTATATGCATTAAGTAATGAAACTTATGCAGCAAGAAATCCCTGTATTGTAGTTGTTCTAATCATTTTATTCAAACTATAGTATACTGTAGTTTAATTTTTATTTGCAAATTAATTTATTCAAACTACGTGAGTAAACACTTTTCAAAAACAGAAAATCTGGGATTTGTCTGTTGCTTTGTTTCCAAGAGGTGGGAAAAGTGGCTGGAGATGGCCCTTCTGCTCTCATGCATCTGTTCTGCACGTGTGGATTAAGGTCGCAGAAAAGCAACTGCAAAGAGCTTGCATGTTCTCCTGGTCATGGATTTGAATGGCTCCTTTCAGATGTGTCCTGGTTTATATTTAACTCTGCTTTAACAGAAGCAAGGTTGTTGTTCAAAAGATGCAGTTAAATGAGCTCTTCCACCAATAGCTACAAATAATGAAATGTAAGCATAACCTTGAAATGGCTTTTCGAAAGCAGCAAGAGCTCTTGGTTCCACTTCCACAATATCGGATTGACGTATCTTCTCTGGTCCTGATCTTGTTGGCTAAGGGGATATGAAAAAGCAGAAAAGGATGTGAAGCAAGCTACAGAGCAGAATGAATAACGTAAAGATGAATTGTGAAAGCAGAGAACAGGATGGTAGCAGGCGTATGCAAAGTGGTGTGCTCACCCCGTGTCGGAGGCACAGCTGGATGCTCATGTGGAGCCAACAGCACATTTGGGCACATGCACACCTGACAAAAAGAGGTTGATGCCCAACGCACAACCACCGTGAAGCCTCTGCCCTATTAAGGTGGTACGTTATGCTTTCATTGTACTTCTTTACCTCACCCTGCCAAAAAGACACGAGAAACCCCCCGGAAGAAGGTGCAGTCTTCACAGAACTGGCTGTTTCTCTGGGTAACATCATACTGAGATAACCCTTCCGAGCCTGCTCCACACTGCCTATTGTATGCTTTTCTTGACCCAACCTGGGCCTGTTAATCCTGTTTTTAACAGGGCAGAACATGGATTCAAATGCCTGAGACACAGAAATCCCACTGTCTAAAGCAGGATAGCAGCAGTCAAGTTGTTTGGGGAACAATTCCATACAACATGCAAGGTAGCTAAAAGCAGTTAACTTTGACTGTGGTTCCCTATTGGAGTTTCCCCTGGGCTTCTGTTCTTAAATAAACAATTTAAATAGGAGGCCTCGTACTCTGTAAACTGTAAAATGAATGTCAGATTAAAAGTAAAATGATCCCTTTGACTCAACCAGCTGACTGAGGCGCTCTGAACTCAGAACCTCTGCTTCTGAACAAGTGTGGGAGCTGGGAGAACTGCAAGAGGTTGCACCGTGCTAGCTCCAAGATGATCATAGCTCCACTTGTGTGCAGCCGAAATCAGCCCCTTGAACCTGCAGAAAACCATCCCTAAATGACATCCATGGCCTTAACCTCCTTTCAAAGGTTTGTTTGAATGGAAAGAGGCATCCATGATGATGGAACAGGATGGATGGGAAATCACTGCAGGTATGAGGAGAAGATGAGGGGATGAGATGAGGTGAGGGTAGGTCCTTTTCTAGCATTAAAGTTCTGTGCAGACCTGCCTCTGGAAATGAGCAGCTATGCTTTCTGCAGTTGGTTTGTGATGGCTGCTCTGTTCTGCACAGCTCTTTGTGTGATGTGTAAAGCAGGTGATTTAATGAGCTAATTTGCTTTTCAGCTGTAGGAAACTGCCTGGCTCTAACACTGGTAAAAGGCAGCAGCTTGGCACAGCACTGGCTAATGAAGCCCTTTCTTCTTTCCCAGAGCAGGAGTGGGGCAGCTTGCTGTGTTGACTCAGCAGGGCAGGAGCATGTTGATGGGAGGTTGCTGGGGGTTTTCTCTGGGGAGGTTGTGGGTAGCCCAGCGCCAACAGAGCCTTCTGTTCCCTTCACTGACTCAGCCACCAGGTTCAAGCCAACACCGTGAGCACGTGGTGTAGCTCTGAGATGCGTGGTGCAGGCTGGGGATGAGGTTTTCTGGTGCCATCTGTGCCAGGCTTGTTACACCTGCAAGAATGAGGCTGGTACCCTGAGAGGTTTAACTAGGTGATGAAGTCACCCCAGCAACCCTCCTCTGCTTGAAGGTGCTCTGCAAATCCCACAGTGACCCTGCTGTGGTGTGCTTGGTCTGCTTCTGAAGAGACACTTTCCAGACCTGATGCTAAAAATACATTTCCAATTTCACAATCTAAGTCTATCACGATGACTGCAGCTACCTACCTGCACACTGTCTTTCAGCCTGGATTAGGACGGGTTGCTGTTGAGTTAGACCAGATTTCCTGGTCCTACTCTTGGCTCGTGCGATCCCTGTTTCCTTTCCTATAAAATCATTGGCAAAGCTTGTCTATTTTTACTTGTAGCACTAGGCTTAAACATAAGGGCTGTGATCATCCTGGAAATGCAGCTTCTGAGGCTCTTTCGTGGCTACAGATCACTTGTACACGCGCTGTTGTGCATCCTGTGAGAAAGACCTGGGAAAGCGTCTCTTTTGGGAGCTGCAATGATTCCAGTGACCTGTGTTAGCAACTCTGTGGCAAGTGTGGCCTCTGTATGGAAAGCAGCAAGAGCTGAGGCCCCCGTTTCCTTGCAGAGAACAGCACTGTGTCAAGCCCTGCTGTTGGATGCGGTATCCCATGGTAACGTACACCGATCCGGGGAAACACCGATGTGTGCTACTGCACGAAGAACAGCCTGCTTAGCTGTGCTAGGAGCTGCTGGTTGTCGGTCTGGTCCCGTCTCCCTCCTGAAAGAAAAAGATGGGACAGGTTTAAAGAGCAGAAGAAAAATGCTTTTATTTCCTCAAGGTGGTGCCCTGTGCAAGCAGCCATACCCAACACAGCCCTGGGGACTGCAGAGCCTGCAGTGGCTTCATGCGTGCCTGAGGCTTTACATTTCAGCCGCAAGCTCCAGTGCCTGAATCTTTATGTGCTGCCTTGGTCCCCCTGCAAGCTGCTGCACATCTTCCTCCCTCCTGCCCCAGCAGATACGGTCCCTTCCACAACCGCAGTAAGCAGGGGAATTTGCAGAAGCAGCCCCCCCGGGAGAACATTGTGTGGGATCAGGTTGGGCACTGGCTGGGGCTGCATCCCCTGAGGCTGAGCCTGGGAGGAGATGAGCAGCCAGAGGCAAAGCGCCAGCTCTGGCAGTCAAGAGCTCCCTGACACTCTTGATTTGGCTGCTAGCGCTCTCCACCCCTGTCCTACTGCCCCTCTTGCAGGGCTGGAATGGGAACCAGCACCGGCATCACCCTATTCTCTGGCCTGTGATGCTTGCCTGGCTCTGCTGCTAGGGGTGCACTTGCGGCAGCAGCGAAGGCGCCAGCGAATACCCAGTTCTGCTGCCCCTGATGAGGGCCCATCGCTATCACACAGGGGTTGAGACATCTCACATCCTCTGCGTGGGCACCAGTGACCTTATGGATCAAGCAGAGGAA